TTCAACCCTCTTCTTTCTTCTAATTTTGTCAAAATCCAACCGCCGCTGCCAATACCGTGACGCGCCAAACCATTCTAAACCCCCCGCTACTTTTTGCCTAACGAGCTGGCGAGGCGTGAGGATTTGTTCGCGGCCATCGCTGGCTGGGACATCGCAGCACTCTGCGTCAGCCTTCGCTGTCACCGCGTTTACCGCCAAATCTATGCTAGCCGTTTTTGCAGGCGCTTCCGACACCGTTACTCCACCTCTCACAAAACCCTGAATCCGAAACGGGTTGGCGTCCGCTACTGTTTCTCCCTCGCCAAACACTCCGCCAAACCTCGCCACAGCGACCAGATTGGCGGGGGGTAAAGGTCCGGCTCCGAGCCTTCCAGCGTGGCGAATGGGAGCAGCTGTACCTGGACACGGTGGACTCAGTCAATACACCCCGACTGCCACGACACCAGCATGACGCGACTGGAGTCATCAGCCGAGCTGAGGGACTCGCAAAACGTGGCAGTCTACGTCAAGCCGTGCTGGCCCTGGAGTCAACGCCGGTCTGCACCCCCAGCCCAAAAATTTTGGAGGAGCTTTGTCAGAAACACCCACCTGCGGAACACGAGGCGGTAACCTGGCCTGTGTCACCTGAGTCGAAACTGTCCATCACCCATGCTGAGTTCGCCAAGATTCTGGGAAGATGCGAGAACGGGGTGGGGGCCGGACCTTCGAGCACAACATTTGAGCACATGCGCGACGCGGCCACTGTTAACGCAATGATCAGCACCCATATGCACACCTTGGTCAACACCCTACTGGGGGGAAATTTGCCAGGCCGGGTCGCGATCCTCCTGACGGCGTCACGGCTAATAGCCTGGCCAAACGTGGGGGAGGGGCCCGGCCAATCGCTATAGGCGAGTGTTTGACAAGACTGACAGCCAAGGCAGCCCTGATAGCCACGGGGGAAGCCGCCCGAGAATATTTCTTGCCAATCAGTATGGCATGGCAGTTCTAGGTGGAGCAGAAACGATAATCCACACAGCCAAGGCATACCTGGATGCCCGCCCCAACTGCATGGTCCTACAAGCAGATATTCCAAACGCTTTCAACAGTTTCTCGCGACATGCCATCGCCACAGCGTTACACGACCCCAAACTCTCGCCACTGCAGCCGTTCGTGAAACTGACCTACGGTAACCCGACGCAACTACTCCTAGACGCGAAATTCAACTCCAAACCTTTGCCTAGTGAATGGGGCGTGCAGTAGGGGGACCCACTCGGCCCGCAACTGTTTGCAGCACGGATACACCCCACGCTCCGCGATACTGCAGAAGCACACCTGGACGTGCATTGCTTGGCGTATATAGATGACGTCACCTTCGTGGGTGACCCATCCCGCACTGTAGCGGCCTTCACACATTTCACAGCCAAATTAGCGCAGCTAGGCCTGACGCATAATCCACAGAAATGCGTGGCGTAGAGTTCAACCAGAGTCACACAGGCTCAACTTCCGCCCGGGGTGCCGTTTTCCAAGGATGGAGTACGGCTTCTAGGTAGCTACGTTGGGACTGACGCTGGAGCAGCCGGGTCGGGCCAGCTAGAAGGGATGGCTAAGCCACTACCGCTGATAGAGCAAGCAGAACCCCAGGTGGCAGCACTATTCCTCACGCGATGTATTTTCAGGCGTATAGCTTACCTCATTAGGACGACTCCCCTCCACCTACTCCCTCGCGCCACCTGGAGCTAGTGAGGAAGGGACTTAGTCGCTACCTTACTCACCTCATGCGACATCCGCGCGCCAACGTGTGGCGCCGAGCAAAAGCGTGTCTGGGAAACAGGCATCATTGCCGACGTCGCTAGGCGGCATAGGCATAACGGACCTGCTCGTATAAGGGATCTACGATTTCACAGCGAGCTTTACCCAAGTGGCCCTTTTTCTTTCCTGCCTCGCGCCAGAATCAGAAAGTGCGTTGACGTTGGCCAAGAACCACATGGTGGCACCCCGGGATGACAACACCCCCTTACACTCGTGGCTCAAACCTCTCTGCGACAGTCGTCAGCCTCCGCTGTGACGCCGCCTGCCGCCAAATCTGTGCCAGTTGTTCTCGCTGGCCCTGCTAACCCCTCTTCTGCACCTGTCGCGAAACCCAAACTCCATCGCGGGCTGGCGCCTGCTGCTATTTCTTCCCCGCCTGATCCTTCGCCAACCCTTGCCAAAGAGGCCTCACTGGGCCAAAATTAAAGCCCGTATTAGATAATTCCAACGAGGCGAGTGGGAGCAGCTTTACACTGACGCCGCGGAAGCTGTCAACACCCCCCCACCACAACGTCACCAACCTGACGAGACCGGGGTCATCAGCAGAGCAGAAGGTCTGGCAAAGCGCGGAAGTTTGCGTCGGGCCGTACTGGCTCTTGAGTCAACACCAGTATGCACGCCCAGTCTACAGATTCTGACCGAGCTGCGCCAAAAACACCTGCCAGCTGGCAACGAGCCCCTGGCATGGCCATCCAACGACCAACCACAGAGCCTCACCATTTCATCCGCCGATTTTGCCAAGTTGCTGAGTCGCTGCGAGAATGGAGTGGGGGCCAGCCCGTCTGGCACCACTTTCGAGCATCTGCGCGATGCGGCAATTACAAATGCCGCTGTCTGCACCCATCTGCACGCCCTGATCAATATCCTGATGGCGGGATCATTGCCCCAGCCTGTAGCAGAATTACTCACGTCATCACGACTGGTAGCACTTGCCAAGCCAGATTGCGGTGCTCGCCCCATAGCAATCTGTAAGTGCCTCACTCGACTAGCAGCAAAGGCTGCTCTGATGGTCATGGGAGAAGCAGCGCAAAGTTTCTTCCTGCCGCTTCAGTATGGAGTAGCCGTGCTAGGTGGAGCTGAAGCGATCATACACACAGCGCGGGCGTTCACTGACGCACGGCCAAATTCCCTGATTTTGCAAACTGACCCATCCAATGCCTTCAACTGTATCTCACGACAGGCAATAGTAACCGCCCTTCAGGACCCAACCCTCTCGCCACTGCTCCCACTAGTCAAGCTAACCTACGGGCAATCGTCACTTCTTTACCTCGACGCAGGTTTTGAAAGCGCCCCACTAAGTAGTGCACGCGGGGTACGTCAAGGGGACCCCTTAGGCCCGCTCCTCTTTGCAGCCAGTATCCACCCAGCGCTACGAACAACAGCAACAGCACATCCAGGCGTCTTGTGTCTCGCATACGCGGACGATGTCAGTTTTCTAGGTAAACAAGCAGAAACAGTAGCAACTTTCAGTCATTTCACGAGCCAGCTAGCCAACTTAGGTTTAGAGCATAACCCCGCTAAGTGTGCAGCGTGGAGTAAATCCCAGATGCTGGACGAGGGGGAGCTGCCGCCCGGGGTGCCCTTCAATCAGAATGGCGTGTGATTGCTAGGAAGCTTCTTAGGCACCACGGAAGGAGGCGCCACATTCTTAACAGAGCAGCTTCAAACAATGGCAAAACTTCTACCACTACTAGAACGCACGGACCCACAGATAGCCTCACTTCTACTGACTCGATGCGTTTCCCGCAGAGTAGCCTACCTCACAAGGACCACCCCGCTCAGTCTCTTCCCTGGTGACACATGGTCCCTATGGGGTCGGGATCAGCTCGCCACGCTCGTGGCTTCATGTGGGATACACTATCCGACGAGCGTGGCGGAGCAGATGCGTGTTTGGGAGCAGGATTCATTATCGACGTCAGTCGGCGGGATTGGCCTCACCGACCCCATAGTAGGAGTTTCGGGTTTCCTCTCTATCTTCACACAAGCATCACTGCTACTCAGCTCACTGCCGCTCGATCAAGGGGACGTTCTGACCGCTGCTAAGGACCACATGCTTCTACCCAGGGATACAAGTACAGACCTACGTTCGTGGCTAACGGAGAGTGAAGCAGCACTGCCTTTAGAAGCACGGGAAATCTTAGACGAGTGGATAGAACCGGCGGGAATTAGGCTGCAGCATGCCTTCTCAGTGCAAGTCCAGGGGGGAAGATACGCGAAGCAGGTCCAAGCGTCACGGCGGATGGCACCGAATCCTTTGTGTGGACATACCCAACGCCTCATCTCACTGACAGGCTATGCAGCTGGGGATTGGCTGATGGCCATCCCCATCGAGTCAACACGGCAGATTGGACCTGAGCACTTCGCAAACGCGGTCCGCTTTCGGTTGGGCCTTCCTTTCGCAACACCGACAAAGTGTGACTACCCAAAACACCTCGAGATCACAGACCCGCAGCTGCCTAACCACCTGTTTTGCTGCGGCATTGGAAAACACAGGATCAATTCGCATAACGAGCTTTGGGATGCCTGCGTCAGCATGGCGCAGGATGCAGACTTCATTGTTCGCACAGAGTCCGCGGCCTACTGCCCAGTAGACGAACAGACGGCGGACTTAACAATGATGGACCGGAGCTCCGGGGCTGTATATATATGTGATGTAACAGTCACACATCCGATTAGTACCCGGGATAAGACGGCTGCCAAAGGAAGGGGATGGGCAGCATGGGAGCAGGCGGATAAGAAAATTAAACATTATGAAAGCTGGCCTGACACGGTGGGCTTTTTCCCCCTTGCTATTGAGACCTACGGGTGCCCGTGTGCGGAGGTGCCCGTGTTTTTGAAATTGCTGGCAGACTCTGCTGCTAGGCGTCACTTCAACGCCGAACCTAACTGATTTCATGCAGCCAGATTCCTCCATCTTTTCAGACAGAGGTGGTCCGTGGCGCTGCAGAGGGCCCAGTCAGTGGGGTTCCTCATGAAGATGTGTCAAGCCGCTATGGCAGAGCACCCACCTGTCGGGGGGATGCAGCACGAGCTCCACCTCGGTGATTGCCTCACCGTGATTGAACCTCTGGTGGAGGTTTAGGGAAAGGTGATATAAGTGTTGGTTAGGATGTGTGATAGAATGGTTCCTAGTGTGCCCATAGGCTTGTCTAATCTTTGTCATTTTCCTTGCATGTTTGTACCTTGCTGCTATATCAATACACAGACCATTAGAGAGAGAGAGAAAGAGAGAGAGAGAGAGAGAGAGAGAGAGAGAGAGAGAGAGAGAGAGAGAGAGATTGGATCCTCCCGTTGTCCGTCAAGGAGGATACCTAGGGGAGCCCGCGTCAGAGACGCGTGCGCCTGCACATGAATCAGCAGGAGCGCACGCAGGCTCTCAGAGAGCCGCCACACCTGGCCAAGCGTCGCCTCCGGCACGCGCACCCGCGGGGGAGGAGCCTCTAGGGCATGAAAAGGAAAGTGAGCAGCGACGACAGGTGGAGTAGCATCAGACGGGTGAGCGGTCACCACTCCTGCCGCCGCGGACACAGCCTCCAGGCCCGGCACAGGAGGCACCCGCAGCAGCCGAAGGTGCGCCCCAGGTACGGAGGTTGACGCAGCAGGAGCAGGAGGAGGAGGAGCCACAGCAGGAAGTGCGGCCACAGGAGGTGCAGGAGGAGGAGCCACAGGCGCCGGTGCGACATGCCGCGAGCTGCCCCGGCTGGCCTGCTCAGCCCTCTCCTCGCGCATTGCAGCCGAAACGACCCGCTGCACATCCGCAAGCGTCAGCGGTGGCTCATACGCCCCGCCACCACGACCGCGACCACCCCTCTAGCCACCGCGACCTCCACGGTGGGCAGGCCAGTCCGCCTCCAATTGGCGACGCCGAGGAGAATCACGACGGCGTCGCGACGACTCCCGCTCATCTCGCGGCAATGGTGAGTGAGGACGAGAGGGACAGCGATGTGGGGACGGATGACGCTGAGCCGGCCGGGCAGCAGGGGATGACGCAGGAGCCGACGGCGAAACGGCATCCTCCGCCTGGTACAGGACGGCGCTGGTGGCTGGAGGCGGCTGGTAAGACAGGTCAGCAGCAGCAGCAGCAGAAGGCGCCCCGGCGGGCGCAGCTTGTGGCGGCACGGAGGCCGCCACAGCAGCCGCATACGAAGCCGCAGCAGCGGGCGCAGGAGGTTGCGCCAGAGCAGGCGCCGCGGCAGGCGCAGGAGCAGACGCGGCTGCCGGCATTGGTGCAGTCGCCGCAGCAGGCGCAGGAGCAGACGCCACACCGCGTGCTCCCAGGTGCGCCACTTCAGGAGCAGGGGCTGTCACCACAGCAGGCGCGGACGACGACGCCACGGCAGGGGGTGGCGCCACAACAGGCGCAGGGGCCAGGTCAGCAGGAGGCACAAGCGACGGCGCAGACACAGGATCGGGAGGGGCGACATCTCCGCAGGCGCCGGAGCCGGTGCCGATACAGCGGGAGGGGCAACGACAGCTGACGCCATGGCAAAGGGCTTTGGCGAATACAAGAGATCGTCCCCAAGCGCGACAGGCATCTCGGCGAGGATGAGGCGCGGGGCAGCAAAACACGGGTGGAAGAAACGGCGGACCGGAGAACGGGTTCCAACGAGCAGCGCGAAGGGCTTTAACTCGAGAAGCAACTAATGAAGAGGAAGAAGCACGGGACGCTACTTATATTCCCACAGAGGTAGCTGAGTCCTCAAAGGAAGACGCAGTCGAGGAGGAATTGTGCCTGCCTGAGGAGAGAATCGCAACACCAAGCCAAACCGCATCGAGGAATTTGGCCGGCCCCCGAAACCGAACCGCATCTGCAAACATTTCCCCCTCCGGAGCCGCGCCAAATCTTGCACCAACTGGTCGGGCCGCCCCTCCTGGCCGAACCCAACCCACTACCACCCAGCCAACTCTCCCACCACCGCTGAAGGAAAAATCGCCAGAGGCACTGGCTGCTGATAACACGCTTTTCGCTGCTGTGGAAACTTGGGACTTGACGAAACTCTGCGACACTCGCAACGCACCTCTGCCACGCCACCTCTCACAGGACATCCACCTCACTGCGCTGCTAGCCCCTCTGCTCCGACTGGCTGACAACCCAGAATCACTGACAGCATGGATAGTTTTCTTGTTCCTCGCACGACTGACGCTGAGACAACACACTCCTCAAAAACCGGATTGGCCGGCAGTCAGAGCAAGATTGCAACAGTTCTTGGTGGGGGAGTGGAGTGCACTGTACTCTAACATGCTCGACTCTCTGACCTACCCTCAAGCACCCAGGCATGCCCCTGACGACCTAGGAGTGATTGCAAGGGCAGAGGGCCTTGCACGACGTGGCAGCCTAAGGAGAGCGGTATAGGCCCTGGAGGCGACGCCGGTGTGCAACCCGTCACCAGCAATCCTGGAAGCACTGCGCGCCAAGCACCCACCTGCTCCTGAAGCACCCCTCGTTTGGCCGGTACCTGACTCCAACGCCCACTTGTTGGCCACCCTGCCCGAGTTTCTCAGAGTTCTGTCACGCTGTGACAATGGGATTGGGGCGGGCCCATCAGGTCTGACATTCGAGCATGTGCGGGAGGCGTGCCTAGTCAACCAGTCAGTGGCGACAAACATCCACGCAATGGTCAACACCATTCTGACAGGGAAACTGCCATCCCCAGTCGCCAGGCTCCTCACGGCGTCTTGCCTACGAGCTCTCTCCAAACCAGACGGAGGGACAAGGCCGATCGCTATTGGTGAAAGCATCACCAGACTCGCCGCCAAAACAGCTCTGATGTTGACAGCAGGCGCAGCAAGAAAATTCTTCATGCCACACCAGTTCGGCGTGGCAGTGCCTGGGAGAGCGGAGGCAGTTATCCACATCACCCGCGCCTACCTGTCTGAAAATCCTTTTGCACTAGTCCTCTAGGCAGACCTAGCCAACGCCTTCAACAGTGTCAACAGAGCCGCAATAGCATCCGCGCTAGACAACTCGGCTCTATGGCGGCACCTCTTGGCCTGATAGCACGGATGGAACCTCAGTTGGCTGCCCTGCTACTCTCCAGGTGTATCTCAAGACGAGTTTCTTACCTCACCCGGACCACACCCCTCATGCATTTGCCTCTGAATGAGTGGTCCGGTTGGGGCAGGCAGCTGTTTGAGACTCTGTTAACGGCATGTGGCATTAGGCATCCGCGGGGTGATGCTGAGATCTCTCGTACATGGTCCCAAGCTTTGCTGCCAGTATCACTTGGGTGCCTCGGAATCACTGTCCCCGCGGTCGAGGGCAGCTACAGCTACCTAGCTAGCTTTACCCAGGCACAGCAGCTGCTCTCAACCCTTGAAGATAACCAGTTAGGGCCCCTGACGAGGACACGGGTGCAGATGATGGGACCGTACACAGACTCCTGCGCTCTCTACCGCTGGCTAGCTCAGTGCAAGGCAGATCTACCGAGTGATGCCGAGGAGCTACTACAAAGTGACAGGGCTGCTCCCACGGGTGTGAAGCTGCAGCAGGGGCTAGCTTTGGCAGTCCAGGGCAGAAGATATGCTAACCAGGTGGAGAGCACACGGGGCATGACCCCAAACCCCAATAGCGGCCACACGCAGCGCCTTCTCTCTTTGTCAGGGTACAGAGCCGGGGACTGGCTCCATGCAGTCCCGCTCATGCCCTCTCTGAGGCTCGACGGTCCCCACTTTGCCACAGCCCTCCAGTTCAGGCTAGGACTACCATTTTCAGCCCCCGACGCTTCTGACTGCACCAAGCGGGTTCCCATCCCAGACAAACGGCTTCCAAACCATCTGCTACGCTGCGCCACAGGAGGGGGAAGGACAAATACTCACAACGAGCTGAGGGATGAGTGCATTAGGATGGCACAGTACGCCGAGTTCATGGTGCACAAGGAAACGGCAGAGTTCTGCCCGGTCACTAGGAAGACAGCGGACCTAGCCATTCGTGATCGGTCCTCAGGGGCAGTATGGATCGGGGACGTCACCATCACTGACCCCATCAGCACGCGCGACCCCAATGCAGTGAAAGGGAGGGGGTGGGCTGCCAGGGAAGCCGCTGAAAAAAAAAATCTCAGACTACAGCGGCTCCCCGGCAGCCTACGTCTCATTTGTACCCCTCGCAGTCGAGACCTATGGCTGCCCATGCGCAGAGGTACCCGCTTTCCTCAAGCTCTTGGCTCACATAGCAGAACGCAAGCTCTTCAACGCCGACCCTTCAACCTACCAGGCGGCAAAACTACTCAACCAGTTCCGCCAGAGCAGCTCGCGCGTGAGGGGAGGTCAAGGGAGAAAGGGACAAGCAATTAATAACTCAAGACATACACGCAATGGCAATACCTACACCTGCCTAAGACAACGCACAAGATCAACATGACGCAGGAAAAGGCGGACACTACATCCGATCCGCGTCAAGGACGGCGAGAAGACCCGTCAGCGAGCGATGAAGTTCACGCACCACCACAGTAGTTGCGCCGATCAGGTCAACTGCAGTCGCTGCGCGCATCACCCAGCGCAGACCACAGAGTGCAGTCCCAAGCTATCCAACGCCTGCAACTCCACCCCGCGTGGGCGCAGCCAACACGGGCGCAAGGAGCTCGGCAAGCCAGTTAGCAGCATCCGAGCACTCGTCCAGAGGGCCGCCTACCAGAGGCACGCCGCGAAAATAGCCGCGTGACAATACACCTGGATCAGGTGAACAGCCCACAGACCCTCAGAGAGGCGCCAAAGCTGCCTGAGAGACGCCTCAGGCACATCCGCCGAAGGAGACGCCCCACCAGCAACTGTACCGGAAGATCAGCCGCCGGCGGATCAGAAGCCACGGGCAGTAGGGATGGATATTGCGGCGTCACCGGTCCTCCGCCCGCAGTCACCAACTCCACGCCCGCAACAGGAGGAACCCACAACCATCACAAACAGTTCCCAGGAACAGCAACAGATGCAACGGGAAAACGAGGAGGAGGAGCGGCAGACAAGGGAGGAGGAGGAGCAGGCGCATAAGGCACAGAAGGAGGAAGGGACACCGGTGCAGGAGTGGCGTGCGGCAAATTGCTCAGGCTTGCCCGCCCGTTCCGCTCCTCGCGCATCGCGTCAGACATAACTGGCTACAAGTCGGCCATTGTCGCCGGCTGATCATACACCCAGCCGCCATCATGACCACGCCCTCCCCACCAGCCCCCTCGGCCGCCACGGGGTGGAGCGCAGTTCGCCTGCGAACCACGGCGCCGAGGGGAATCGTGCTGCCGCCGTGACGTCTCCCGCTCGTCACGCGGCACAAGGGAATGAGGCCGATGCTGCCAACGGCCCGGGGACGGAGGACGCTGAGCAGGAGGAACACGAGCAGAGGGTGCGGGAGCAGGACCCGCCTAGACGGTCGGAGGCGGCGCAGTTGCAGCCGTAGGCAGAAGGGCAGGGGCAACCGGAGGCGACACGCGAGCCGACTGAACCTCCGCCGAGCTCGGGCCAGCGCTGGTGGCTGGAGGCGGCTGGTAAGCTGGGTCCGCAACAGCAGCAGGAGAAAGCGCCACGGCAGGTGCAACCAGTGGCAGCGCGGTGGCTGCTCCATCAGCAGCAGACGACGTCGGAACCACAGGCGCGTGCGTCGACACCCCCACGGGGACAGGTGGAACCACCGGCGCAGGCGCAGGAGTGTGCACAGGAGCAGACGCCGCAGCCGGCCTAGGGGCAGGCGCAGGAGCAGACGCCGAGGCGAGCACGGAAGCAGGTGATGACGCGGGGGCAGGACCAGGTGCCTCGCCAGGTGCAGACAATGACGCCACGATGGGAACGGGCGGCGCAGCAGGCACGAGAACAGGGCCAGCCTGGGTCACAGACGACGTCCAGATCAAGGTGCGGGAAGAGGCGACATCCCTACGGTTGCCGTCGCCGGGGGAGATACGGTCGGAGGGCCATTGCAGCTAACGCCACGACAAAGGGCCGCGGCAAATACAGATATTAGTCGTCGCCTATCGATACAGGCATCGCGGGGCAGACGAGGTGGCGGACGAAGAAAGGCATCTGGGAAGGGAGGTGGATTAGAAAATGGCTTCTAGAGGGAAGCACGCCGGGCCCTAACTCGGAGAGTTGATGGAACAAAAGCTGAGGAGGATGCATCTGATCCTACGTTTATAGCAGAAGTGGTGGAAGAGTCCACCACAGAAGAGTCGGGGGAGTTCGAGGAAGAGGAACGGGAGGGTAGAAGCCGGGCACGCCCAGCACCACGCCAAGCCGCCCCAAGACCAGCCACGCTGGGGGGTGAGCCTAACCGGGAAGAACCAGACACCACCGCATCAGAGCCCCACCAATTTTCACCTAAGCAATTGGCCAGAGACACAGTGCGGTTTGGCGAAGTTGAATTATGGGATCTGACTCCCCTATGCATCAGCCCCCACTTTCGCGCAAACTCCCTGCTGACATTGGCCCGCTTTTCACCACTGCCCTCCTGACACCACTACTCCACCTCGCGCGTAACCCGTAGTCAGCCGCAGGTTGGCGCCTATTACTCTTCATCCCACGACTTTCCCTTCGCCTCCCCTCAACGGAGAAGCCCGATTGGCCAGCATTCAAGCGCCGTCTTCACCAATTCAACAAAAGTGAATGCCAACAGCTGTACGTCTCGGCAGTTACTGCGATCACTGGACCACACCCGCCTCGCCACACGCCAGATGCCCTCGGCAAACATGCCAGGGCAGAAGGTCTCGCATAAAAAGGAAGCCTTCGCAGAGCAATCCTCGCCCTCGAGTCAACGCCGGTCGTCGACCCATCTGCAACCATCCTAGCCGCGCTCAAAGCAAAACACCCCCCCGCTCCACCCAAAATCATCAATTGGGACATCCTCGATACTGTCCAAGCCGCATCGATCGAAAAAGGTGACTTCATAAAAATGCTGTGTCGCTACGAGAACTGTTGTGTGATGCAATCATATGCATTCACGTCTGTCTGCCTCCCATCATATGTTCGTGCGTTGCATGCGTGGTGTGAGCGTGTGCAAGAAATTGTGTTTTGTCTGGTTTGAATTTTCTGAGTGTGTGCAAATGTTATTTGGCTTGAGCAGATATCTGAAGTGACTTCTCTGCTCAAGAGCTTTCCGACAAACCAAGTATCGCTTCAATCGGAGCACGGTCAAGAAAGTTACGAATGTTGGAGTTCGTATGCTTTTCATATTTGATTGTGGCAACTATGGGAAGTTGTGGGGTTGACTCAATATGGGGTACAGACTTTTGGGGGTTGGGAAATTCGTCTTTTCTACTATAGCTGCTGCCAAATGGTTGGGAGAAACCAAACCAGGTTGGCAAGTGTAGCCAAGTTGGGTTGAGGTGGATTGTGGAGGTTGGGATAGTGACAAAGGTCTAAGTTGGGTTGCTTATGGGGAAGGGAATTGTGTGGCATGGGGTTTCCTTGGTTGGGGACTCTCTTGGGACCTTCCCTCTCATCCTCCTCATTCCTTCCACCTGGTTTAGTGCTACTCTAATTCTCTTGTGTGAACTTGTGTGAGACTCTTGTGATTGAGTTAAGATTCCATGGCAGCATACCCCCTAGTGCGCCAAAATTGATAACTCAAGAAATACTTCAGTTTTTTGTACGATTCAACTTGGAAATTGTAGCCACAAATTAGAACTAGAACATATTGGAAATTGGTGAAGTTTTGACTGTGCGTTTTTTGTCGACGGCGTTTCTTGTGAGCGCGAATATTCTGTCCAGAAATAGAGACCAACGTTTTTTGATAAATTTAGGCACCTAATCTTCATAGAATCCGTCCTTGGTCTCTAACAAGAACGGGGTGGGAGAGGGATCGTCTGGTATGATATTTGAACACCTGCGTGATGCATCACTTGCCAATGCGGGGGTTACCACTCACCTCCACGCCCTCGTCAACACCATCCTGCGAGGCAAATTGCTAGACGAGGTCTGCGCGCTACTAACAGCCAGCCGTCTCATAGTTCTAGCCAAGCCTGATGGAGGCACTAGACCGATAGCAGTAAGAGAGTGTATCCTGCGTTTAGCTGTGAAGTCCGCCCTCTCTGCCCTCTTCCAAGAATGTGGGGCGCATTTCCTCCCGTTACAGTACTGCGTTTCCGTTCAAGGCGGTAGCGAATCAATTATCCACACCGCGAGAACTTTCACGAGCGCAAACCCGGATGCGCTTATAGTACAGGCGGACTTGGCGAATGCGTTTAACTCCATTAGCCGGGCAGCAGTAGTCAGTGCACTCCGCGACACTGATCTCCAAGGCCTCCTCCCCCTCGTCAAAGCATCATATAGTCGGCCAGCCCAGTTGTTCCTCGACGCAGGGTTCGGTTGCGAGGCGCTGACCACCAAGACAGGCGTGCGACAAGATGATCCGCTCGGCTCACTGCTGTTTGGTGCGGGAATCCACCCCATCTTCTCTAAAATAGTAGCATCTTACCCAGAAGTTTTGTGCTTAGCATTCGCCGATGACATTACATTCCTGGGAAGGGTAGAGTGTTCTGAAGCTTTCAGCCATTTCACGACAGGACTCCATGACGTAGGACTAACCCACAACCCAGAGAAGTGCGCCGCTTGGAGAGCAGCAGTCATAGATCCCCAGAAGCTGCCACAGGGTGTCCCACCACGCACGGAGGGGCTGAGGGTGCTGGGAAGCTTCTTCAGTTTGATAGAAGGAGCAGCAGCCTTTCTACGGTCACAACTGGAGACAATGTCGTCCCCCCTGCCCCATACAACGTGCATGGACCCATAGGTGGCAGCACTGCTACTAACACGGTGCATCTCCAGGCGCATCTCCTACCTAGCCCGCACCACACCTCTGTACTTGCTACTCAAAGCTGAGTGGTTGGGGTGGGGCCGGGCTCTGCTATACACGCCTACAGATGCTTGCAGGGTGCGCCACCCAAAGGGAGAAGCAGAGGACAGATGGATCTGGGACCAAGCCTCACTCCCACCCAGCCTAGGCGGCCTGGGCCTCGCCGACCCTGCGGTAGAGGGCCGCTACAGCTTCCTAGTGAGCTTCGTCCAGGCCCATACACTCCTCGGCCAGTTAGGGGGCCAAGCAGGGGCCACCCTGACAGCAGCACTAGACCTACCCGACTCAGCAAACCACAGCCCGAACGATCTACAGCAGTGGATCCAGGACTGCAGGAGCAGCCTCACGCAGGAAGCAAGGGATCTTATTTCAGTGGAGCAGGCCAAACCCAAAGGCCAACTGCAGCACTGCTTGCTCTCTTAGTCCAAGGGGGCCGGAGCGCTGCCCAGATCACCGCATCCACGCAGATGGACCTGAACCCACTGCTGGGCCACACCCAACGCCTCATGTCCCTCACGGGCTACACGGCAGGGGACTGGCTCATGGCGATCCCCTACATGCCAGCGCTTCGTTTATACCCTGCCAATTCACGTTCGCCCTTCATTTCCGGCTCGGCATGCCGCTCTTTGTGCCCGACTGTTGTGACTACAGCAAACGAGTCCCCATTCTAGATAAAAGACTACCAAACCACCTGCTACGGTGCGGTATAGGGCACGGCCGGACCAACACTCACGATGAGCTATGCGATGAGTGCATTCGTATGGCGCAGGATGCAGGGTTTGATGTACACAAGGAGTGCACCGCCTTCAGCCCAATGGACAAGAAGGCCGACCTGGCCTTCAGGGATGGGAGCTCGGGGGCCGTGTGGCTGGGAGATATCACAATCACATATCCCATCAGTAATCGGGACGAAACTGCAAGGAAAGGGAGGGGCTGGGCAGCACGGGAGGCAGCAGACAAGAAAATAGGCCTATACCTCGGCAGGGCAGAGTATGCTGGGTTTGTCCCATTGGCAGTAGAAACATACGGCTGTCCCTGCGACGAGGTGCCTACCTTTGTGAAGCTGCTGGCCGACAAAGCTGCACTGAGAATCTTCAACGCGGACCCAACCACCTATCAGGCGTGCAAAGATGCTCCATCAGTTCCGCCAACGCTGGTCAGATGCACTCCAGAGAGCCCAGGCAGTGAGCTTTCTCACAAAGCTGAACCTGGCCACGAGCAGAGAACCCCCCACTAGGGAACCACAAGGGGAGATGAACCCGAGGGACTGTTTTTCAACGCTAGAGGCACCTTAGAAATATAAGGGGGGGTGGGGGGGGGGGGGGGGAGTAGGAGGGGAGGGTAGAAGTGGGTGTTCCCTTAGTCTTGTGCTCTGTAGGTTTTGTTTGTTTGTCTTTGTTTGCTTGTCTACGTGCTAGATGTGCCCTTCAAACACTGGCAGCGCGTCAGCAAGTCAAACACATTTCCCCCGCTACTTCTCGCCAGACGAATTGGCGAAGCGAGCAGACCTGTTCGCAGCCATCGATGATTGAGATTTGGCGGCCCTATGCAACAGTCGTCAGCCATCCCTGTCGCGCCGATTACCTTCCAATTTGTGTCAGCTGTTCTCACTGGTGTTACTCACCCCGCTCCTTCACCTCGCGCAAAATCCGGACTCGATCGCAGGGTGGCGTCTGCTACTATTTCTCCCTCGGCTCACTCTTCGCCAAACCTCGCCAAGAAGACCGAAGTGGCCCGAAGTCAAAGCCCGTCTCAGAGCTTTTCAGCGGGGCGAATGGGGGCAGCTGTACTCTGGCACAATCGCAGCCATCAGCACCCCACCACCTCCACGTCATCAACCAGACGAGGCGGGAGTACTCAGCAGGGCGGAGGGCCTGGCCAAGCGTGGAAGTCTACGGCGAGCCGTGCTGGCCCTCGAGTCAACCCCAGTCTGCACGCCAGGCCCAGCAATCTTGGATGAACTTCGCGCAAAACACCCCTGAGCCGACGACGAGGAGTTGAGCTGGCCAACAGCACCTGACCCGAACCTCCAAATCAGCCACGCCGATTTCTCCAAACTTCTGGGTCGGTGCGAGAATGGGGTGGGGACTCGACCGTCCGGAACCGCTTTCGAACACCTTCGCGACGCATCTGCAACCAACGCATCGGTCCGCACCCACCTGCATGCCTTGATCAACACTATCCTGACAGGCAACTTACCCGAGCTAGTGGCGGACCTGCTGACAGCGTCACGCCTAATCGCGCTGTCCAAGCCAGGTGGGGGGGTTCGGCCAATTGCAATTGGCAAATGCCTGACGCGCCTCGCGGCCAAGGCAGCTCTGACCACAATTGG